CAACCCAAATTTTCCTTTATATTAATGAAGAAAAAAAAACCAGCAAAAACAAACAAAGTAATAACAACAACACAAAAAGAACAATAAAAAACAACTCAAATTTTCCTTAATATGAATGAAGAAAAATAACAAAGACAACCAAATCAATAACAACAAAAATAACAAAAAAGGGGGAATTCATTATGAGAGCATCATCGACAATATACAAAGTCCACCCGATCTAAATCATTCGGATAATCACCGAAATAATTGCAGCTTCCAATAGTAATCGAAGAGAAATTGTATTGCAAAGATACGCTTCTATTACGGAAATAACGACTGTATCAAACGTCGCTGTTATTTCACGTAATTAATAATGCAATGAACAGCTGGCTTGCAATGGCATTATTATCAGAATATTCGCAAAAAGTTATAATTGATGATATTGCATATTATTTGCAAATGCTAATGGTGTTTTTTTTTTTTAATTCAACTTTTGTGGATTTAAAAATACTTTAATTACCGATCTTGAATTTGTTCTATATTTGAAAGAAGGAAAAAAAAGATTTTAATAATTTATAGTTCAACTTTTCTTATAGTAGTGATTAAGATAGTGAATAATGATGAAAATCGCATGGAAATCATATTAATCAGCAAATGATTAAATTAGCTATAACAAGAACAGTAATAATCACAACAATAATACCAAAATGATGGTGGTAATAATAAGGAAGATGATAATGTTAACTATAACAATACCACGACTACAACTACTGTCACTATAAATTTTAATAATGATAATAATGATGAATAATAACAAAAACACTAACACTATCATCACCAATAATAATAATGATAATGATGATAATAATAATGATAGGGATGATAATAATGGTAATAGTAATGATGATGATAACAATAAAGAGGATAATAATAATGATAATATAATAATAATATAATAATGATCATAACAATAATGATAATATTGATAATAATTATAGTAATGATATTAATAGGAATAATGATAATAACAATAAAGATAATAAAATAATGATAATAATGATAATGCTAATAATGATAATAATACGAAGAGTGATGATAATGATAACAGTAATGATAACAATAATAATGATAATAAAACAAATATAATGATGATAATAATTATGATAATAGTAATGATGATAATGATAATGAAATAATCGTTATAATTATAATAATGTTAATTATGATAACAACAGCAACAACAACAACACAATAATAATAATGATAATAATAATGATAATAATAATGATGATGATGATAATAATAACAATGATAATAATAATCATGAAAATAACAACAATAAAAATAATAATGATAATGATAAGAGTAATGATGATAACGGTAATGAGAGTATCCAAAATAATAGTAACGATAGTGATAATGATAATAATTATGATAATGGTAATAATGACAATAATAGTAATGATAACAATAACATAATAATAATGGTAATCACAATTATGATAAAAATGATATTAAAAATAATTACTGTTATCAGAATAATGATAATCGTGATGATGATAATGATATTGATAATAATGATAATGATGGTAAAAAATGATAATGGGTATGATGATACTAATACTAAAAATGATAATGATAATGATAATACATACGGTAATGATAGTAATACTGATATTACTAATACCAATACTAATCATAATAACAAAAATAATAATAGTTATGACTATTTGAATTACAATACAACTTAAGGCAAAAACTAAGAGCAAATATTCAAATACAAACCTAGATTATTAACAATTCATCTTGTACGTAAAAATCTTCAAGTAACGCATAAAGAAATACTGTCATTTTATATTAAAGACTCGAGCGAATTCTATATTCCAGTCTCCCTATTTTAGAACTAAATATGATATGAAACAATGGCGAATACAGTACGATTTGCAAATGGCAGAAAACGGAAAATTTGAAAGACCGTTTCCCTCGAGACAAAATGCTCCTCGTTTCCCTCGAGAATGAAATAACTTGTCCGTTTAATTCGTGTTTTCTGAAACGTTGGTCGTTCGTGTTCGAAGCAGTCTCGTCGGTATTTCCGAAGCACCGCGGCGGATCAGATTCATTATGGGAAAGTAACAACTCGAGGAGGTGTCATGGCGTCCGATTTATTTTGATGACGTCACAAAAGTTACGGGTGCTTTGTGAATATGGTCGATCATTTTGTCCTCTTCAGGTTTCAAAAAGGATGGAAAGTAATGGTTTTAATGGTTTTATTTTCCTTGAACAATCATCAAAACAGACGCCAAGACACCTCGAGTTGCTACTAATCTAGCCTTTACGCACTTTGCCGAAAAAGGAGATTGATTCAACATACAGATCAACACATACCTCCTGATGACGTCACCAGCTTCGTCTCCCTGGGACTGGCAGCTATGATCCTCTTGATGACGTCAATCTGTTCGAGCAGCAATTGCACTGTGTTCATGTACTGCGCCTCGCAAGGGACGTAGACGGACCAGAACTGAAAGATAGATGAAATTCCATATAAGTGTTTATATTTGAAAGCGGTTGAATTTTTTTTGTCTTTCTTTCTGTCTCTGTCTGATAGTCTGTGTCTGTCCCTGTCTGTCTGTCTGTCTGTCTGTCTTCTGTTTCTCTCTCTCTCTCTCTCTCTCTCTCTCTCTCTCTCTCTCTCTCTCTCTCTCTCTCTCTCTCTCTCTCTCTCTCTCTCTCTCTCTCTCTCTCTCTCTCTCTCTCTCTCTCTCTCTCTCTCTCCTCCCTCCCTCCCTCCCTCCTCCCTCCCTCCCTCCCTCCCTCCACTCCCCCCTTCTCCCACCCCCCTCTTTCTTCACTCACACGAACAACTAGATGGCAAGGCTATAACCTCACTCCAGTCATCAACGGAATTACAAACGACCGTTATCCAAGCCCTTCATTGTTTTGACTCCGGGATCCCCCTTTGCCCCTTAATCCAGGTGCTTATCTTCTATGCTTTGTTGTTGCTATCCGTCTGTCTGTCTGTCTGTCCACCGCCTTTGCTTATGGCGTCTTCCCGCCTCATCAGCAGTTATCTTTGCCCTTTTCGGTTTATTACAGTGGGAGAGGGAGAGGAGAGGGAGGAGAGGGAGAGGAGGGAGGGAGGGAGGGTGTGGAACAGCAGTTATCTTAGCACTTGCAGTTTATTACAGAGGGAGAGAAGGAGAGAGGGAGGGAAGTGAGATCAAAATATAGATACAGAGCGAGAGAGAGAGAGAGAGAGAGAGAGAGAGAGAGAAGAGAGAGAAGAGAGAGAGAGAGAGAGAGAGAGAGAGAGAGAGAGAGAGAAGAGAGAGAGAGATGAGAGAGACAGATAGAAAAAGAGTTTGTTTGGACTAATCACTGACATATTAGCTAAAGTTTCATAAAGCGTTATTGTGTCTCCAATTCGAGTGGGCTGAATATGTCATAGCCATATTCCATCCATATGCTATTTCTGTTATAAATAGACATAATTTGGATGATGTACACACACACACACACACACACACACACACACACACACACACACACACACACGCACACACACACACACACACACACACACACACAACACACACACACACACACACACACACACACACACACACACCACACACACACACACGCACACACACACACACACACACACACAACACACACACACACAAAAACACACACATACACAACATATATGTGTGTATAAGCCTACAATTCTGTAGGCTTATATACACACACATACACACACAAACACATATATCTATACCGTAGTGAGAGTGTATTGCGACAGGATACAAGTTCGTATTACAGAATCAAACACAGTGTCAAGGAGAACTTAAAGGTACTCGAAACGGACGCAATATGAGCTACCAGTTCCCGCTGAAGTTCACACCGAGGGCAATTTGAAACACTCTTCACTCTCTTTGTCACTCTTTTGAAAAAAAAAAAAAAAAATGGTTAAAGTATGTCACTCCTGAAGATGTTATTCACGCAGAGGTGGCGGATCCCGAGAGCTGTTTGAAGTGGTTCCGCATCAAAGAAGGAAATGGTCGGCGTTCTTAGAATGCTCGTAAGGTCGCGGTTTGTTTGCCCGCGCGGGTACTTGGAAGCAATTCAATATGATCCTTGTAGTTTGTATTCTTTATTTGGTTAAATTCCCTTCCTCACCTTTCTCTTTCTTTGCCTTTCGGTCTGCGCGTGCGTGTGTGTGTGTGTCTCTCTCTCTCTATCTCTATCTCTCTTTCTTTCTCCTCTCTCTCTGTCTCTCTCTGTCTGTCTGTCTCTCTTCTCTCTCTCTCTCTCTCTCTCTCTCTCTCTCTCTCTCTCTCTCTCTCTCTCTCTCTCTCTTCTCTCTCTCTCTCTCTCTCTCTCTCTCTCTCTCTCTCTCTCTCTCTCTCTCTCTCTCTCTCTCTCTCTCTTCTCTCTCTCTCTCTCCTCTCTCCTCTTTTCCCTCTCCCTCCTTCCATCACCCCTTTTCATGTGCCTCCCTCCCCCTCCCGTCTCCCCCCCCGTCCCCTCGCCCCATCTCTTTATTTCGATCATCATTTTTCTAAATGGAAATCCTGAACCTTCACAATGGGACTGGTGATGAAATCATTCTTTCGCCAAAGTTCTCTCTCTCTTTATATAATCTGTCGTATTTCTTTATCTTGGGATCAACTTTTCCCGCCTAAAATATTCTCTCGCTCTCCATAAACAAACGCATTAAAAAGAAAAAAAAATTCTAAAGTGACTGTCTTTTTTTTCTTTATTTTTCTTTCTTTCGGTGCATTGAATGCTCGTAGATCTTGAGTGTTTAAGAATGCTGAGAATTTAGACCTTATGGCATCTGTGTATAAAGGCCGACGGGCTTAGTGGACAACTGTTTTAGGATTACTGTATCGCTTATTATTGATTAAGAGAGAATAAAGCTAAAAGATCGATGGTATTCATGTTTTGTCTGTCTGTCTGTCTGTCTCTCTTTCTCTCAACCCACCTTTCTCACTCTCTCTCTCTCTCTCTCTCTCTCTCTCTCTCTCTCTCTCTCTCTCTCTCTCTCTCTCTCTCTCTCTCTCTCTCTCTCTCTCTTCTCTCTTTCTCTCACCCATCTATATCTTTCCCCTCTTCCTTCCCTTCTCCCTTCCATCCCTTTCCTTACCTCCCTATCTCCCTCCGTCTCAATCTCTCTTTATATCTTTCTCCTCTCCCCCGCTCTCTCCCTTTCCCCTCTCGCTCCCTCCCTTTCCCTTTTCCCTCTCTCTCCCTTCCCTTCTCCCCTCTTTCTCTCCCTTCCCCCTCTCTCTCCCTTTCCCTCTCTCCCTTTCCCCTCGCTCCTCCCCTTTCTCCCTTTCCCTCTCCTACCTTCCCCTCTCCTTCCCTCGCTCTCTCCCTTTTCCCTTCTCCTTTCCCCTTCTCGCCCCCTCCCCTTTCTCCCCCTCCTTCCCTCTCACTTTCTCTCCCCTCTCGCTTCTTTCCTTTCCCTCTCCACTTTCTTTTCCCTTTCCCTCTCCTTTCTTTTCCCTTTTCCCCTCTTTCTCCCTCTCCCTCCCCTCCTTTCCCTCCCCTCTCTTTCCCTTTCCCCTCTCTCTCTCTCTCTTTCCCCTCCTTCCCTTCCACTCTCGCTCCCTTTCCCTCCCTCTCTTCCCCTTTCCCCCCCCTCTCTCTCCTTTCTTCTCTCTCTCCTTCCCCTTTTCGCATTTTTCGCCCTCGTACAAAAAATAGACGCTGCCGTGTTCTTCCAACGAGATGGTTCCCCTCAGTGTAACACGATCTTCTCCTGTGTGAGTTTGAGGGTCTTTTTTCCCCTCTTTTCTTCGTCCTCCTCCTTCCCTCGTTACCCCTTTCCCATATATCTATCCTTTTTTCCCCTCACTTTCCAGAAGGTATCGGTGTGTGTTTGTGTGTGTGTGTGTATCTCTGAATAACTGTCTGTCTCTCTTTTTTTTTCTCTCTCTCTCATTCTCTTTGTTCGAATATTTGTTGTTTTGTGTGTGCCTGTCTCTGTGTCTTGTTTGTGTCTTCTATCTTTTTCTGTCTTTCTCTGTCCGTATGTATGTCTGCCTGTCTCTTACTGTCTGTCTCTCGCTCTCTCTCTGTTTCTCTCCCTCTCCATCTCTATCTCTTTCCCTCTCTCTCCTCTTCCTCATCCTCCCCTCTCTCCCCCTTTCTTTCTCTCTCTCTTTCCCTTCCTTCCTCTCCCGCCACCCCCCCCCCCCCCCATTTCCTAATTATTAATATTTTTTACCCTTATCCCCATAGTCATTATCTTCTTCCTACCCCTTTCCGGTTCTTCACTCCTTCCCCAGTCTTCTACTCTCATTCCTCATCTCCCATTTCTCCTAAATATCCAGACATTTTTTTTTTGGAAGTGACTACTGGTACGGCAGAAAAGCCCCCGGTTGGTGATCTGCGCATGTGTGGTGAAAAAAAAAAAGATGGCGCTGTTTTTGACACCAGATACCACTCTCAAATAGGTTAGGTTAGTACTTATTACCCGGAAATTATGTTTATATGCGCATATGTGTGCCGTACACCTAACCACGAGAAATCGGATACGACTACCGTACGCGTAACCTCGGCTCTTTTTTTTTTTTATTATCATTTTTTTTTGCTTTATTCATCACCTTTCTCTCCCCTTTCCCTTCTCTTTCACCTTCACCTGATATTCTAACGGTTATTATTCCCTTTTGGCGCGACGATCAGCTGAGAAGGGAAAAGGCAAAGCGAATACTAGAAAGTAAACAAGATATTCTCTTTTTTTTTTTTTTTTTTTTTTTTGGTCGGCTTCCTCTTTCCCCTCTTAGTGTAACCTGATCATTTCCCCTCAGACATTTTAAGGATACGGGGGATAACCCTTGTTTCTTCTCCTCTTTCTCTCCCTTTTCCTCTTCCTCTTTCTATCTTCCTATTTTCTTTTTTTTTCCCTCCCCTTGTTACCTTCTCCTCCCTTTCTTTTACCTTCTCTCTACTCTTTTCCTTTTCCTCCTTCCCCCTTCTCTTCTCTTCCTATCTTCCTATTTTCCTTTTTTCCCTTCCTTGTTACCCCCCCCCTTCTCCCCTTCTTTTCGCTCCTCTTTCTACCTTTCTCTTTTCCTTTTTTTCTTCCTGTCTCCTTCTCCTACTCTCTTTTGCCTTTGTGTTATTCTTAATCTCTTCTTTCTCCCCTTTTCTTTTCCACCTTCTACTACCGTCTTCCTCATTCATTCTTCTGTATTTCTCCTGCTTTCTGTCCTTTCGCCTTATCTCTCACATTCTCTCTTCTCTCTTTCTTCCTTGTTTCTCACCCTTTCCTACCTCTTCCTCCCTTGTTTATCCTACTCTCTTCTATCTACCCTCTTCTCGTCCCGTCCCTCTCTTCCTGTCGTTCTCTTATCGCTTTTACCCTTCTCTCTCTACGTAGTTCCCCTTCCCTTTCCTCATTTCCTGTCATCCTCTTTCACCTCTCTTATCTCTCTCCTTCCTACCTCCTCCCTCTGCCTTCCGCTTCTCTCCTATCTCTCCTCTTCCTTCGTCTTTCCTCTGATCTGT